AGATGCCTCACAGAATATAATCACATCCTGCACATCAACCGAGCAACTACAGGCGAACTGCACCGATGTGAAGCCTTCACATGGAACCAAAACTTACATTCTCATCAACAACAAACAATTATTTTTTGAAGAATGTTTCTAAGCAAACTCCTCCAGCATCTCCTGCAGCAACATAAGTGGTTTCACAGTATAAAACATAAGATTGTGGAATCATTTGCTGTGTGTTTACGTTTGCTGTTACCAGAGAGAGAGAGAGAGAAACAGAGAGAGCGCCAAGTGACACAACACTCATATTATGTCTCAGAGCTGAGTCGCTCCTGAGCACAGAAGCTTCACAGGAAACCAGGGCTGCTGCTGGCACTCAGGCCTCCTGAGACACAGGGCTGGAGAGACTGGGTGCCAGAGATGTTCAGGGTTACAGAGGCTCAGGGCAAGAGAGGCTCAGAGCTGGAGAGGCTCAGGGCTGGAGAGGCTCAGGGCTGGAGAGGCTCAGGGCTGGAGAAGCTCAGAGCACGATACACTCGGGGCTGGAGAGGCTTGTCTTTTTCTCTGTCTCTTTCAGTCGCCGTTGTTTGGAGCTCCTCGTGTCTCTCCTTTTTTATTTCTGGTTTACTAACCATTTGTTCATCAGATTTTGACCGATTTCCTCCTGTCCTCTAAGTGTAGTGACTGGGACGCGCTCTCAGTGTCTCGCCGCTTAGCTCCGTTGAACGAAGCCGCTGGTTATCATTGGTTGAAACACAAATCTCCCAATATAGAAGCTGCTCAATTTTACCGTTATAATCTCTGGACTCAAACGATGACTGTAACTCTGTCTTTGTAACCTCCAACACCGCTTGTCTCAACCGTTATTGAGTCTGCCCTGAATGTCCATCAGCTCCACAGTCTCTGAGCTCCAATGTCTGTGCACTGCCCTGGGTACCCGTGTCCTCCTGGGGCTCTGAGCTCCAATATCTGTGCTGCTGTGCGGTTGTCTAGTTCAGGGTGAATATAGTTGATTTTTTTAAAATATTATTTCATTTCCCATTCTCTGAAATCAACTCTCTTTAATCTTATCTCGCCTTTGTGAATCAGAACTGAATCCCAGTGGTACAGGGAAAGGCAGTTGAATTAGACTAAACACCTTTTACTTCCAAAGACAGGTCCAACAAATGTCTTTCTTTTGTGCTTTAATTTCTAAGACACTGTGATGCATCTTTGAGGACTAAAGATTTACATTTGCAACTGATGCCCAATAACATATGAGCAACCGGCATTTTTCCTTCATTAAATCCACGGTGTTTGATTATGTGTATGTGTGTGTGTGAGAGAGAGAGAGAGAGAAAGAGAGAGAGAGAGAGATGGTGGCTGTGCGGGGTGTTGAGTGGGGGAAAGTTGGTAGGTTGATGTTGACGAGGAGGACTGGTAGCGGAATCTGCAGAGGCAGATCATACAGAGAGATAAGAAATATTTTAATCGACACGAGCTGCACCACAGACTTCCTGGTGCTTTGCAGCGGGACCTGGATGTGAAGTCGAAGTAAATAACCGCCTATTTAATACATTAGATCAAGTTGTGTAAATCCACTGTCGTTAATACTAGAATTGTGAATAATGACGACAGTACATGTAACAGCAAACAATAAACTATGCGACACCAAACAGATGATTCCTGAGCGTTTTTGTGCTGTAATTACAAATCTCTCAAAGGCTGTAGGAACAAGTCACTGTGTGATTTAAACCTCAGAGGCCAATGTGCTGACATCTGAGTTGTCTTCATACCCGACATCTCTGCCAAACCGAATTACCTCATGGCAATAAGTGTAACCATCATTTGATCACATACATTATGAATGACTATCTTCTGAGCTATAGATTGCTAAGGCTCTGTGATGCCACTTTGGTTTTAAAGCGTTACACTTGAAACTGCTGTCAGATAACATCTAAGCTGCTGCTTCTTTCCTGCCATAAAACGTGCGTTCGTATGTGTGTGTGTGTGTACAGCGAAAGGCAAAGCGGCAGATTATATTAGCATTGAAATGTAGTTTCTGCTGCTTTGCTAACGGATCTGGATGTGGAAATTGAAGTAATTCCCGGCCTAACTAATACATTTACTGGTGGCTGATTCGTGCTTGAAATCAGCTCTGTTTCTATGTGTGAAAGAGAGAGAAAAGGAGACGGGGAATAGCGGATTGGAGCAGTGGAGGTTGGAGGGGAGGTTGCGGGACGAAGACTGCTGGCAGCGGAAGCTGCTGAGGCAGATCATACAGAGAGATAAAGAACATTTTAGTCGACACGAACTACACCACAGACTTTCAGGTGCTTTGCAGCAGGACATGGCTGTGCGTTTCAAGTAAATAAAGGCCAAAATAACACACTGGTCGAGTTATCTAAATCTACTGTTCGTTCAGTTCGAATTATGCTAATCAATGTATCATTATATACGGTAACCTGAGCATTGTAAATGGATTGATGATATTCGCCAAAACACCTTTCGCATTCATCTGTCTATGTCGGTAATAATTTGAATTCTTTAATCAAGTGATGATCAATTCTCTCTGAGTAATAATAATAATAATCCTTGCATTTGATATAGCGCTTTTCACGTCTGTCAGACGTCCCAAAGCGCTTCACAGAATACATTGTAAAGTGAATTAACTGTATATTTTGTGGGCGAATGCTGCAGCCAATGGCGCACAGCAATGCCCCACAAACAGTCGTAGATTGAAAATGTCCAATTTATTATTGTTTTTGATTTTGGAGGGATTAGTATTAGGCTCTGTGTGGAGTAAGGAGACTTGCCCAAGGTTTCGCCCTCTGCCTGGAATTGAACTCAGTTCTCTCGCTTGCAAAGCGAATGCTCTTACCACTGAGCTCCAGGACTCCACAATAAGCATGGTCTCTGTATTACAGGCCGGGTCCAGTTGTAATATTAACATTGCTTGGATTTGATATAATGCATTATCACATCTTCGGGACATCACACGTTGCTCCACAGAATATGCTGTACAAGCTGTAGAATATACTGTAGCTATTTGGATAACTTTAACTCAAGCAACATGTTTGTACTGTGGGCTTTACCTATCTATAACTTTGGTTTGTTTTGATTAACAAAGGCTTAACGTGAGAGGTCCCAGTCCAGGTGTCTTGTCGGCTTTTGAGAACATTACAGTCAGATAAGGAAGCCACTCTCCAGCCTGTAATACCTCGGGTGATCACGGTGGGGAGCAGATTTTAATGCACTGGAAGTTGAACGATCAACTGTTAACCTTCAAGGGAGGAAACATGCACATCATGTTTTATGCAAATTATTTAACTGATGTCAAATCTGAAATAATTTTCATTTCCAGTTAAATTAATACAGATTATTAAATTATAAAATTTGAGAAACGCCGCTGAGGTTGTAGATTTAAGAATAAATCAACAAAACAAAACAGTTTTACATTGGTCACAAAGGTGCAGGAATGTTGTGGTAAGCAATCTGCTGATTTCAAACAATTCAAGCTAAAATACTAAATTCCTCAACAAAGACAGATTATCGTAGATATTCCACAAACAGGAGTTATGACGATGCATGCCCAACATTAAAACATGGCTGAGACTAATTCATATTTCCTGATCAGTGATCAGTTCTTAAGCATCTGGAAGAGAAATATAAAAGGTTGTTTGGGAAATGGCTGCCGAATGGAATGAAACCGATTGCAACCACTATTTAAGAAATCTTTAATACAAGCACGACTTTCCATGTTTTAAACAGGTTGATCATAGCCACCGGATGATCAAAGCCACCATCATATCCCCAGGTGATCATTGTCACCAGGTACCGAATGATCATAGCCTCGTTGTTACCTTTGAAGCCCTCTGCGCTTTTTGCCACAACCGACCTGTGCAGATTCCTTACACCCTACGAAATGATATGATTCCTTACGCTGCCTGTTTAATGTCTCCTGCCCTGCCCTGTCCAACCCGCCATAAGTCTTTCAGCCTATCTGCCACCACTCTCTTTAGCGTTAGCCGCTCCACTCCGCAATTGACCTCTGTAAAGTGACATACACTAATCTACAAATAGAGTTTGCCTTCATTTGTCCATATAGGTAATATTTTCTATACATACGTCAAGCGAAGATCATTTCATTATATATTGACACTTTAAGCCTCATTCAGTTGATAGTCTCCCCTTTATTGTGAAAATGTATATGAAACCGTTTAAAAGATGGGAGTGAATCCACAAATGCACACTTCTCTCAAAGTCTAACATCACCACGACACCCCCGTGTCACTGTCTCCTGCAGGTTTTGAGTAACAATGTCAATCGAAGCCGGTGAACACTTTTATCAATGTAACATTCACAACAGTCAGGAATTTTCCTCATTGTGTACTCTATATTTGACCAGGAACAGGAGTTCAATATACATGGATAACAGAGGAAGCCACTTAGAAATGCAATGCAAGGCTCAGTCCGACACATGCCTATCGCTGAGCATTCTAGAGTCGGATTGGAGGCATATCGGTTTGCCAAAGCCGCTCATATGCTAAATTGGATGAAGCATAGAAGTTGCACTTGGCCCTCGATAACATGAAGTAGCTGACACATCATACACTGTCCAGTGCATATCCTACCACAACACTGAAGGCAGATATCCATCCAATCGCTGATGTGGAAACTCTGGGGCGACAGATGCTTCAAGGTTTTACCTGGAGTTCGAGTTTGTGTACACAAATTGGTACATCTTATGCCTGGAATCCACCTTGATTGGTTTGAAGAGAGCTGGTGCTTATCTCCGCCCTTCCAACTCAACAGTTGGTGGTGTGAAGGGACATACTGTGACAAGCTGTGTTGTTAGAGACAGAGATTGTCGGTGTGGTATGAGGGATAGACTGTGATAGGCTGTGCAGGGTGAAGTGTCGTGAAAATCCCTCTTTGTTCCATGGTGTAACTGATCGTTGTGTCGTATATCTCTTCCCCTCCTAACCGTCCTTCCCGAGTCAACCATAAATCATGAGACTGCAACAACCACCAATGATCCAATAATCGTTTATTATAATGAAGGGAAACAAATGGTATTTTTGTTATAAGAAAGTACAAAAGCAGTATAAAACTTCACTTTTTATCACACAATGTCCAGCAATAAACTTAAAACTGATAACCATCTACTTAATAGCACCTTTCACATCAGAAGGACGTCCCAAAGAGCTGCAGTCACAGGTTTGCATCTGAGTTGGAGGTTGGATTCATGGAAACGTGGGACCATAGGCGTGGGGAGATAACCAAAGGCGTAAATAAAAAGTACCCTCTTGAGAAGGATCTTGAAGGAGACGAGGGGAATCTGGGATAGAATTCTAGAAAGCTGAATGCTGCTTTTAGGAAGGCAGGATGATGAATATGAAGCAGGCCATTGCTACCAAGCGGAAGCAGCGGGCTGATACGTAGTGTTTTAAAAGCTCAACAATGTATGATGGGACTGTTGAGGATTTAAAAATGAAGACGAGCATCTTAAGATCTGTGCTCTGGGGGATGGGGAGCCAGTGGACCAGGGGGAGGAATGGGGCAATACAGTCATGAAGCCTGTTGTGGGAGAGGATACGAACGTTAGATTTCTGATTATTATGGAGCCTGTCGAAGGAAAAATTGGGAATTCCAACAAGCAGATTTTTGGCGTTGTCAAGCTTGAACATGACGAAAGTTTGGATAAATCGTGTGCCAGCCTGGCTCAGTGGTAGAACTCTTCTTTTCAAATCGCACATCGGGACTTGGTTTCATAAAATATTAGATGACTCTGCAAACCAGTGCTGAATCGGCACTCCTTTCTCAGAGGTGCTTTCCTTTCGGTGAGACAATAAACCGAGATCATGTGTATCTGCTCAGGCATATGTTAAAGTTCATATGGCGCAACTTGAAAAGTGAAGGGAATGTCTCCCAACCAGCAGTCCCCCAAACAAAGTAGTCACTCATTTCTGAACTGATTATGCAAAACTACTCTGCGCTCATTGGATGCCGCATTTTGCCCATGGACACCTGAATTCAGTTTCCGTTATATCATCTGAGGCGCTTTTAGATATCTCGACTATATAATACATCACTGTGACAAAAGCACGGACTATTATCAGAATTATAATGGTCTCAGAAGCCTGGGGGAGAGGTAATAGTGGAGGCAGGCGATGTTACACAGATGGAGTTTAAAGGACAGTTGAGATTGGAAATTGTCACCGAGGTTCCACCCTGACTCCATGAGGTGAAGTTTGTCTGAAATGAGGAGGTTGTTAGAAGCCAAGCAGGAGATTCTTTCTCTTGTGTGGGAACTCAATAAAGTTAGGTCTTATCCAGGACTGAACGTCTGATAGCAGTGGTCTTGGTAGCGAGGAGGAGGCAGAGAGATAGAGTTTGTTGTTATCCCCACGCACTTTAAATCAGCAAGCACGTTAGCCTCATGCCTGCGGATGAACAACTAAGAGCATACAGTCATAAAAGAAGAGAGGACCGAGGCTATAGCCAGGAGTAATATAACACGTGAAAATGCGGGAGGAGAATCTGTTGGCGGAAATGAAGTGGCCTCTTTTGGATACGTAAGAGCGAAACTAGGAAAAGACAAATTGGAGCAGAGAGATGGGGAAATGGTACAAGATGTGGTGTGACTTTACAACCGAATAAAGTCCCACCACCACCAGAAATGTAGAATTCAGTGAGTATCAACGCTACACTTTAGTCGAGCGATCCGAGCACAACAAATGATTCATACAGTGTGTGGAAAGCAAAATGGAAGTGTGGCTCGCTAGCCTCAGTGCACAGTGAACAGCTCGTCTTGCCCTTGGATGTTTGGTCACTTTTTGTTTCTTCACCTTTATATATAGATTGTAGAGGTGATACTGCCTCCAGTAGGTAATATGCGACCGATTGTCACATACGCTGACATTGTGATAATATTCCAACCCCAGCTTCCCCACCACTGTCACATACACAGAATCTGTGATAAAGCCCCAACAGTTACACACACAGACTCTGTGATAATTCCCCGACTGTTACATACAGAGCTTGTGATAATAAACCCACTATTACCTATACATATTGTGCTAATACACCCACTGTCATAGACACAGACTCTCATTATTAACAGTTAAAAAAGGATCAGCCTTTAACCTCATCCGTCTCTTTGGGAAACATTTTCCCAGTCAAAGAATGTTCACTTCTGCAAGCTCCATTACGAAGAAAGACTTTTGTCCCCATAAATGAAGGGAGATTCTCTGCGGCGAGGAGAGAGCCAAATCCAAAGAGGAAGAATTTCCATTTCTCAGTTTTTCTTGCACCTGTCACTGCTCCACGTCGGACGTTCAGAAGAGCTAGTAATTAAAGTGTGCCTCCACAATGAGGTTCAACCCAAAATCTGACTTAGAAGGAAGAGTGACGCTAATTGAGCCAGACTGGCCCCTTATTGCTGAATCCGGTGTTTCAGGAGAATGAGGAACATGGGAGTGATTATTCCTTCCCTGTTCCAGGAGATGATGGTAAAACATTCGGGTCACCCCAAGGACTCGCCCCCACGTCCACATACTCACCGTTATGTATCACATTAAGTGAATAATGTGATTTCTCTATGATCAGTGGAACATCACGGAATTTAAGCGCTTGAGGGCTATTTTTGTGTTTCCTACTCAGCCATTTTGTTACTTGATTCACTGCGGAAATAAAACAAATAATAATAATAATAATCCTTGCATTTGATATAGAGCTTTTCACGTCGGGAGGACCTCCCAATTGTGAATTGTCAAGTGAATTTACTGTATATTTGTGGGCCAATGCGACAGCCAATTGCGCACAGCAATGTCCCACGAAGCGTCGTAGATTGAAAATGTCCAATTTGTTATTGGTTTTAGCTTTGGAGGGGTTATTGTTAGGCGTGTGGAGCTAGGAAACTTGCCCAAAGTTTCGCCTTGCCTGGAATTGAACTAAGGTCTCTCACTTGCAAAGCGAGTGCTCTAACCACTGAGCTGCAGGACTCCAATAAACAACAAGGCCAAGCTCTGCGCTGGGTGGGAATCCTGGTAAAATAACAGACTCTTCGAAACTCCTTTTCCCATTATTTTTTTTAGCCTTGTACTGAATATCAACGGGCTGTCCCACATCAGGACAAGTAACGTAGAACCACATTCGAGCGTTTACGATAGGGTCTGAAGTTCAGAATGTGAAATATCATGCACCACGTTTGACACCTACTAACCGTTCTCATTAAATCATCACCCTGACCCTCCTTGCTAACTGATTGTCATCTTATCCCTTCCCATTAATCATCATCATCATCATCAGAACCCTCCACTCCAGGTCATCACCACGCTAGTCCTCGTCACTAAATTAGCATCAGTTTAACCCTCCTCACTATGTCATCATCATACTAACACTCCTCACTAAATTTTCATCACCCTAACCGCCTCAGTAAATCATCATCTCCCAAGCCCTCCCAAGTGAATCATCATCATGTTACCCCTGCTCACTAAATCATTATCAGGGCCCTCTTTGCTAAATCATTATACATCGTTACCTTTCTTTGACAGACCCACTTGAACGGAGAGAATTGTCTGTTGTTTTTTGCGCCAGAGCCACAGTCCCGGATTTGTGAGGAGCAAGAGAATTGAGATCAGCCCCATTTGGTAGAGATGATATGAGGCGTCAGAATCTGCAACAAGAAGAGTTGGAAATCAAGATGTTCATGATTTTCTAACCGCAATGTCCCGTGACCCCAATTCCCAGGGAAATCTCTACTTCTGCAATTATTTGTAGAGACTGCACAGCACAGAATAAATCTGCACGATCCACAAAGGCTGTACCTGTGTTGCTACTTCACAGTGCAAGATGCTGTAATTAGTTTGCTGAATAATTTCTCAATCTATATTTGGGATGTTTATATAATCGAAATATACGTTCAAACTGATGTGAGGGGAGCTGGTTGTGAAGAGCTTCGCAAAAGTTCGTTCTCAACGAAGAGACCAAAAGTGCTTATAAAAAACAAACGCTTTGCATTTCTTGTCAGCCATTGTCTCATGGAAACTGTCTGGAGCTGCAAAGAGCTATTTTTCACAAAGGAACCATCTTGAAACATACAATAAGTGATAGTCACGTCCCTAACTGTACCCACTGAGATCAATTCGAAAAGAGAATCGGGAGAAAGAATGGAGGAAGAAGAAAAAGTAATCGGAACTTGGAGTTGCTAACCATATTCCAGCTTTTAAAGAAGAAAGGTCAATATTACGATTTAAACTGGACATATTATAATACCTGTACAATTTCGCGTTATTATACTGGACCTATAATACTACCTGCATACATTTGGGTGACTGGACATAGGATAATACCTGCATACTTCGGAGTGGTCTAACTATGAAATATTCAACAATATTTGAGTACATTTTTTAATATCCATTGAAATGGACACTACATTGAGCATTGCTCCTCTATCTCTTCCGCAGCATTTGGTTAGATCAACTTAAATCGTAATGTACTCTACGTGGATGCATTAGCATCATAAAAGTGTACCCCTTAATTACTTATAGCTTTTAATTATCTGAATTAATAAATATCTATATTTTTGTGCAACATTTGTGTCAGTCCTTACTTCACCACAGGGTCACGAATATGCAATACCCTTTACAACAGGGTTCTTCACCTCCTAATCTTCACACAATGCTTATACTCTTAAGTTCCCCTCTCACTCATATGAAGGTTTGGCTTCCCCTTGAATGTCTCAAATTATACTTGCGATGCTTATATTTTTGAGACACATGATCAATCTCGTTCAAGCAGTCTGATTCAAACACTGTTCCAGAGAGAGAGACCCACATTCTCACTATATAATGCGTGAAATTCCTCCTAACTTATTTTGTGGATCCTATTGTTTCTAACTTATATTGGTGTCCCCTGGTTGCAGAGTCTCCATTTGGAGGAAAAGCTCCACTTACTTTAAACTTATCGAACTCTTTTTATAAGTTTGAACATTTAAACATAATTTCATTAAATCCACACTTGGACATATTTTCTGCAACGAAACATGGCGTAACCTCTCCAGTCTAACCTACCTGCCCTGGTATCAGCCTCACAAACCCTCGCTGTGTTCTTCCCCTCGCAGTTCTACCGGTCTTATAGTGTGGAAAGTGAATTTGGACACAATACTCCAAAGGTGATCTATTCAAGATTTGCATTTATTCAACATCACCTCCTCAGTTTTACAATCTATCCCTCTGATAATAAAGACCAAATTCCCATTGGCATTCTTGTAGCCTTGTTCGGCTTAGTAGCTACTCTTGGAGCTGTGTGGAAATGAATCTCCAGATCTCTTTACTCCTCCGCTCCTCTATGGTGGCCAACACCTTGAACACTTCTTTATTTTTCCTGTTGAAGTGAACTGCTTTGCAAGTTCATAGGTGAATCTTAATTTGACATTTTTCAACACATACTGCTGGACTCTTTACACCTTACTATATTTTTCTGAAATCCCCTTCATTGTCAACCATGTCCACAGTATGGTGTCGTCAATAAATCTTGACACCACGCTTCCTAAATTTGTATATTATATTTGCATGTTTGTAGCGATTTTTACACAGGGGAACACCACTCACTACCTCGTTCCAGAATGAGGAGTTTCCTTTCTTTCACTCTTTCCTATCAGTTCTCTCATCATTTTTTAATCCATTCTGTAACGTCTATTATAACTCCATATGTACTGATTGTCTATTAGACCCTAACAGGGCACCTTATAAAGGTCTTCTGGATTTCCAGACACACCACATTCACTGCTTTAATTACTCTTTGCCTTTCATTGATCACAATGGGCAGACAAATAAAATGGGTATATCAACAAAATGTAATACAATTAAAATACTTTTTTTTGTATTGAGCCACCCATTATGTTTATCCATTTAACACTATTAATCATGACACATTTTCCAAAGGCCTTACCTTCCACACAGGCCTCACCTGCCCCATGGGCCTCACCTCCCCCATAGGCTTGACGTGCCCTACAGGCTTCACATCTCCCACAGGCCTCACCTCCATCACATGCTTCACCTCTCCGATAGGCCACATATCCACCATAAGTTTCATCTCTAATCTGCCGCTCCTTCTCTTTAGTCATCTCTTGAAACTCTTGGCTCAGTAAACGATGTAGCTCATCCAATTTACTCGCTGTGGCTTTCTTCTCCTCCAATGTCTTCAGTTTTTCTTCTTCGAGAGCGAATTCCAGGTGTTGGATCTTTTCCTCGCTCAAATGCTTCTCTTCAATCAGCTGTTTGTGAATCCGAGATTCCTCCACAATAATTCTCTCGTCTCGTTTTTGTTTCTCCTGTTGAGCTGTGATGCGGAAACATATGGATAATCAGTGTTTTTATGAGTGTCAAAACAGTGTGAGGCGGCCAATTGCAGCTTCAGATGCTGCTGGACTACACGCGGTAACAGCATTCGGAGACCTAGATATCATGGTCAATCTGTACAGCTCTGAAATACCACACCTGGAGTAGTGTGCATCGTATAAGTAGTGTGCGGAGTAAAAATGCCATCAAAATAAATAAAACTAATTTGGTCACTCAATCCACGAACGTTTCGGTGACAATGCTATGTGCTATTAACTGCTGCCTTACGTCCACAAACTATGCAGTCAATTAATTTTGTAGTAAATTAAGTTAAGCAATTTGAAATGCTTTGAAGTTATGACAAAGCACTAAACCAAATGCACGGATAATTGTTGTTAAACTGTGTTGTCATGAAAGGGCATGAAATGGAGACAGGTTGGTAGGATCATCTGTTACATCCTGTTGCCTGCTCTCTGGTGTTTTCAGACAGAGACCGATTTTTCTTTCTCTTTCTCTCTCTCGGGAGTGCGTTCCTAATGTCCTGTAGCTCAGTGGTTAGAGAACTCGATTTGCAAGTAAGAGACCTGAGTTCAATTCCAGGCAGAGGGCGAAACCTCGGGCAAGTTCCTTACTCCACACAGAGCCTAATAATAATCCTTCCAAAACCAAAAACAATAATAAATTAGTCATTTTCAATCTACCACTGCTTGTGGGACATTGCTGTGCGCATTGGCTGCCGCGTTCGCCCACAAATATACAGTCAATTCACTTGGCAGTGTGTTCTGTAAAGCGCTTTGGGACGTCCTCCCGACGTGAAAAGCGCTATATCAAATGCAAGGATTATTATTATTATTATTATTATTTAGTCATTTATTGTTGTTGAGACAAATCATTACTCTCTGTGCGAAATAGCGTATTGATCCAGAAGCAAAAGTATAAGGCCTCCAGTTCGGTCAGTCACAATGAAACTTATATTATCCTACCCCACAGGCCTCACGTCATCCATATGCCTCAACTCCCCCACGTGCCTTACCTCTGATAAAAGCTTCATCTCTAATCTGCCGCTCCATCACCACAGACTTCTCTTGGAACTCTTTTCTCAGTGAACGTTGCTGCTCTTGCAATTTTCTAGATGTGGCTCTCTGCTCTTCCAGTGTGATCCGTTTCTCTTCCTCCAGATTCGCTTCAAGGTGTCGGATCATTTCCTCTTTCAGACGCGTCTTCTGAATCAGCTGTTGGTGAGCCCAAGATTCTTCATCTCTCTCTCTCTGCACCAATTCTATTTTCTCGTGTTGAGCTGGGAAACAACGGGAATGTCTGTCTTTTTACCGGTATCCAAACAGTGTGACAAAGCATGTACCAGTCACACAAGAGTCGGATGTCAGGAAAAGTTGAAATCGTAAATGGTCAAAGACTGTGACTGCCTCGCTAGACTGTGAAGGATATTTCATGCGGATTGTTGAACAAATTAAGGTGGTGTTATATCTTTGGTTTCTGTCACATCTCTTATAGACTTGATGAAAGAATACCTTAATTTCTTGCTTGGAAAGTGCTAATAATGAGAAACGGAGGCATCGAGAGATTGTTTCAACATTCTGTGACAGGTTGCTTCCAAGCAATGTAGATTGGCATCCCTTGAGAACATGTTGCAGACTGATACTTGGTATTCTGGTATTTATCATGGTGATGAATTATCAATTTAGGTTTTTTTCTCCCCTCATTAGTAAGTACCGTACATTTGTGACATATGCCCAATATTGTGTAGCAAAATACAGCTCTCATCAGACGGTACCTTAGGTACTGTGTACAGCTATGATCAGAACAAACCTGGAGGATTGCATGCAGCTCTGTTCAGACTATTCCTTGGAGTACTGCGTTCAAATCTGTTTTACGCTAGAAGAGCATGAATTTTAGAGAGGTTGAGAAGAATATGAGGGATGATGCGATAGAACCTGTCGTCCGCTCTCTGCTCGTCTCAGTCAGAGTGAGGAAATATATTTTCTCTCTCTCTTTCTCTCACATCAACGCTATTTTTGCTATTTACTTCCTTCCCATTTTAGTGTTGTTTACTTGCAGTGTAGAGGATGCAATCTTAGTATATTGTAGCTAACAGTGAAGAATATAGTAGCAGATTGCAAGACGATATAGAAAGAGTGGAAAAATGGGCTGACGTGTGGCAGATAAAGCTTAATTTGGAGCAATGCGGAGCAATGAATTTTGTGAGGAAGAATGAAGAGAGGCAACATTATCCAGATGGTAGATTCCAAAATGGTTTGAGGGAATAGAGAAACCTTAGGGTTCATGTAAGTAAATGTTTGAAGGTGGCAGGACGTGTAGTTAAATTTATTAAAAAATCATACGGGAAATGTGTTTCTAAAATGGGGGCATGGAATACAAAAGTCAGGAAGTTATGACGAAACTTCATAACAAAAACTGGTTGAGCTTCAGTTACAGACTGTGTTCAGTTCTTGGCACCGCACTTTAGGGAGGATGTCAAAGCGTTGGAGAGGGTGCAAAGGAAATTTACCTGATGGTTGCACGAAGGAGGGACTTCAGTTATGAGGGGAGGAAAAATATGCTAATCTTTTACTCCTTGGAACAGAGAAAGTTACTGGGAGATTCAATGGAAGTTTTGAATATGATGAAGGGATCGATTGCTTGAACAACGAGAAAGCATTTCCACTAATGCGAGGGTCGGTAACCCGAGGGCACCGATTTAAAAAAGTTGTTGGAAGAAACAGAAGGGAGCGGAGGAGCCGTTTTCCCAAACAGCGAGTTGGTCGCATGTGGAAGGCATTGCCTGAAAGGGTGGTGGAAGCTGATTCGATAACATTATTTCAGGTAGAATTAGATAATAATTTGTGGTGGACAAGTTTGCAGGGTGATGGGGAGAGTGTGTGGGAGTGGGATCGATTTCAGAGATATATTCAAAGAGCCAGCATAGGTACATTAGGCCGATCAGCCTCCTTCTGTGCTGTATAGTTCTATGATTCTATGATAGTGAATGAAATACCAACTCAACCTGCATGAAATAAATGATGGATTGACAGCACAATGTCCAATGCATCCATTCTGCCCATTGTCCCCCGAAACGTGCATAAACATCCCGCAAAGATCTCAACTCCCCAACAGGCTGAGGTATCCCAAAGGCCTCACCAACCGTGGTGCCTGACGTCCCCCATAAACGTCACCATCCTCACAAGCCTCACCTCCCTCACAGGCCTACCCTCTCTCACAGGCCTCAGCACTCCAACAGGCCTCAGTTACCAAAAAAGCTATACCTCTAATCTCCTGCTCCATCGCTGTAGCCTTCTCCTGGAACTCTTGTCTAAGTGAACGTTGCTGTTCCTGCATTGTATGAGCTATGGCCTCCGGCTTCTTCAGCGACTTCTTTTTCTCTTCAAACAGAGACGCTTCCAGGAGTCGGATCTTTTCCTCAAGCAGACGGGTCTCCTCAATCAGCGCATGATGAGCCCGAGATTCATCCTCCCTCACTCTGACCATCAGATCTGGTTTCTCGTGCTGGGCTGGTACGGTGGAACAAAGGGTACGTCAATGTTGTTATCAGCGTCCAACTTGTGTGAGATGGCAAATACCAGTAACACAGGAGTCTGGTTAACGGTAAAATGTTTCCATTGTTAATTGTCTAAAACTATAACGGTATCTCTGGACTGAGAAGTTGACCTCATTAACAGGTTGAGTTGGTGGTCTTTCCTTGCTTTCTGTGACATCTCTTATAGCATTGTTATCCATTCCTTACTTCTTATGAGCGAATAGGAGAAAGTGAGGCATCGAGAGATGATTTAATCGTTCTGTGAAAGGTTGCTTCCCAAGCAAATAAAACATTCCTATCACTTGAGTACGATTTTAGGACTGGTACTTATTGTGGTGTCTCTTGTGGTGAAGGATTATCAATTTGTTTTTGACACCGCTCGTTGGTAAATACATTAAACTAATGACTAACGACACATACCCTACACTATCTAGTGCGATTTACGAAAATTATGCCAGGGCTTATAATGTTAAATTATGAGGACAGATTGCATAAACCTGTTCTGTGTTCTCGTGTATTTAAAAGGTTAAAAGGTGATCTGATTCACTTGTTTAAATTGATAAGGTTATTCAAAGAATTAGCCACAGAGAAACTGTATATCTCTTGAGGAGTGCAGAATAAGGGTGCATCCTTTTTGAAATCAAATCTAGGCCATTTAAGGAAGCATTGTTTCAATCAAAGGTAGAAGAAATCTAGAATTGTATCCCTCACAATTTACATTGAACCATAAAATTTGAAACTATCTTGGATAGAGTTATGTTAATTCAGGTTAACATTGATTATGAGGCAAAGGCCGGTATTTGAATTTGACGTACAGATCAGTCATGGTATAATAGAATAGAATAGGAATGTCCGACTCTCGTTCTGGTGCTCGTAAGCTCCTCAGATAATTCGACAAGAGAGGTTGGCCAAGATAGTCTTGAACTATGGCTGCACTAACCGGCTTCAAACTCCACCACCTTATGAAATCTTTCCATGCAGAGATTTTTCGGTATAACAGAAGGAGTGCGTGTCAGCAACAGTGAGATACGGAAACGATCAACTCCCAGCTGCTCTAACAGGGTGAGGTAACTGATCAAAACTAATTTCCCCCCAGAAACATGGTTACTAGCGTCATTGTGTCGGCTGATAGTGGTCCGATACTTCCTGTATTAATATTGACTGATGAATTGTAACAAAGGAAACAATTGTTTGACATCGTAATTTTGCGCATTATTTCATGAATATTTAAATATTGAATACAAAATTTATCACAATGGATGATGAAAATATCATAGCAATCCGAGACCCAGACGTCAAATTCAATCTACACAATTTGCCACATCAAACCTGGAGCACATTCTACTGCTCAGATCAGCCCACACTTGGAGGAAGCTGTACAATAACAGCAACAAAATTAAATTGTTCAGCGCCGTTAACATCGGGAGGACGTCCCAAGGCGCTGGACAGTCAGGGGTCAGGACCCGAGGATTGAGTATGGGTGACGGAAGGCAGAGAGGTGGGAGGAATCGAAGGCACGATCGAAGAAGCAGTCAAGTGTGAAAGCGAGGCGATGGGATGCAGTTGCAGGTGGTGGGGTCAGAGAGGCTGAAAGGTCGACCACAGATAGTGTTAGAATTTACACTTTTTCTATAATGTTAGAATCATAATAGATGTTGCGAACGGGTTAACTTTTAAGTTAAGTGTGTTGTGGGCAGCTGGAATGAAACTCCCTACACGTACACGAGATAACGGACTGTCTCAAGGACAGTGTGTTTGTGTGCTGAGGCACGTACACCCCATGAGATGTTCACGTGAACCCAGCATGATTTTGGCCAGGTGACCTAATGTCCGCACCATGATTGGATGGACACAAGCTTAAGACACCGTGCCAGACCAAGATCGCGCCCGGGACAGTACCTACCGTGAATGGATGACTGACACCTAGACGACAGAAGTAGACGACCACGAGGAGGAATTACGCGGTAGTATTGTTCTGTTAGTAAATTGATTGATTGTGCTTACTTGCCCTCGCCCATCGGGAATTTGGACGGATCCTGGAGTTTAATAAACACCACTCTGGTTGCAAACAGTGGTTGTGTTTGATTGGAACTCGAAAATAAGATTTTATTTTCCAACAATTTGGCGTAGTCGGCAGGATCGTTCAGGAAAGTTGGACAGAGTAAGTACAATCAAGCATTGACGAAGGTTTATGTTTAGTTTTTAGTCATTCCCCTATAGGTGTTAAGTTAGTCCCAACTGAGGGAAGGAAACCCTTTATTACCTTGGGTAAGGAGAGGGACCAGGACCGATAGTAATTGGCACTATGGTCCCGGGAAATAATTCTGGTTGTGACTGCGCTGTGAACTTTGAAAGGAAGCTCATTAAAACGATTCAGAAGTTGAAGTTAGGGGCAAATGGTTAGAATATTCCGCAACCAACTGGCGCTGTAGGGTATAAGCCTTTAGTAGGAGAAATTGAGGAGTTAGGCTCTCCGCGAAGGTTGAGCGATAGCAAGAAGAAGGTTTTGTTGAAATACTGGGCTTTCGTGAGTTGCCAACACCTAGAAGAAGAAAGACGCATATGGCAGGAGGAGAAAAAATGTGAACAGGAAAGATTAGAGGAGGAGCTAGGAAAAGTGAGAGAACAGGCTGCTAAGCATGAGGCAGATCTTCATGCCCAGCAGGAGCATGAGAGGGAAAGATTTCAGAAGGATCTGGAAGAAGCGAGAGAGCAGGCAGCAAAGTACAAGGCGGAATTCTACGCTCAGCAAGAGCGCGGGGAGTTAGAGCGAAGGGACTTAGAACGTGTGAATCAAGACATGACTGAGATATATACGACCCTGCAGGGAATTTATAACCATCAAGGCGCTATTTTAAATCTAACGGCTGTTAAATCTCGAGAGGTCGAGGAGCTTAAGGAAGAACGGTTGCGAGATAAGGAAATGATTGCCGGGTTGGGACAGGAAAATGATGATTTGAGGGGAGCAGTGCGCTGCCAAGAAATAGGTAGGCAGGAGCGAGCGGAGTTAGAAGAGTTTAGGAAAGGAAAAGAGAAAGAGAAGGAAGATAACGAACGAAGACAAGCGTTAGTAGCAGCAGTATGCAACATTAAGCCTGTGATAAATGGGGTTTGTCAGGATGCCGACGATAATAATGCTTGGAATTGGGGAGAGTTGGATGAAGAGGTAGTACAGTACAATGAGGATGAAGGGTCAGCGGCACCCCTAGTAAAGGGTCGTGTTTGTCTGGTCAGCATTTCACGGCGTACCAATGCGAATGGGAATGCTGGGTGCCGGGACGAAATTGTCTCCTCCCTGAGCCCGGGAGATGTGGTAGTGTATTGTTCTCAGCTGCGGTCCAAATTAACTCAAGGAACCCCACGGCAAACCTGGATAATGAAATGGGATACTTGGAAAGAGGATAACGCTGACTTAACTCCCGCCGACTATGCTAGGACACTTAAGGCAATGTTAAGCTCGGATCTCCGAGGGTCTTTAGACCCTCGTACAATCCCAGGCGGAGTCGTTACCCCGGCCAATTTATAGGATTTTGAGGAAGAGGTGAGGCGAGCGCTGGCTGCCCACTCCAACCCCCTTGAAGATTTGACCTCATGTAAGCAGGGGACAAACGAGAGTCCCCTGGCTTTTCATCTCAGATTGTGGCAGTTATATTCGGCTAATCAGGAGAATGCCATGAATCGACAACAATGCGAGAATTCTGTTAGTTATAAAAAATGCTGGTTAGGGAAATTGAATAAAGATACCTCTGCTGCTATGGGGTTAGGCTTAGATCCCGCCTCCCTTTTTGATCAACTGATAGGAGCAGCCACTATTTGTCATGGGGCTATTCAGAAAACTATTAAGACTGAAAAGACAGAATCTGTGTGGCAGGTGGAGGGGCGAGAGCCATGGAGTCAACTGAATAATGGTCCGAGCCGAGGGCAGCCCCGAAGTCAGGGACACCATGATAGATCAAAGGATATGTGCTATACCTGTGGTAAATGGGGGCATTGGACTCCGGACTGTCCAACAAGGCGCAGAGCCCGCGCATAGAGAAGGCAGAGCTTTTCTGCTGACCCCAGACCTGATCAAGAGCAGCAAAATTATGAGCAATGGGAGAGGAACCTGGAGCAAAAGTTAACCCAAGGAATCTTGACTCAGCTAGGCCATAATCCGGGACGTTGAGGTGGCTCTGTCTCGGCTATAGTCGAGGGGAACCGACCATGCCCTCAATGACATGTTTCGATCCCACACCCTGATGGCAGCCAAGTGAGCAATCGGTTGTGTGTCCCCTTTAAGAAATGCGAGGGACCAAGGCCGTTTATATCCATGAAGGTGTGCGGGACCGTCCATGCTATTTTGGTAGATTCAGGCTCTAAAGTCACCCTGCTTAATTTTGACAACCAAACCCTTCCTCCCCTCACAGGTGAATGTTTGGAATTTTCTGGTGTGTCTGGGAGCCCTGTGTATGTCAAGTGTTGCCTCCTTTGCCTGTACAATTGACTTGTAAAGCAACAATTGTTTTAAAACAGCCAATTGCTGTAAATGTAACCACTGAACCTGGTATCCTCGGGAGCGATGAACTAACCTCGTGGAAAGCTCTGCTTGACTATACTAATCATTGTTTATGGTTAGATCAACATCCTGGTCAGGGTCGGTTTTGTGAGATATTAGATCGGCATGCTGTGTGCGCTATTAAAAAGCCCACCCCGTACCCTCCAGTTCAGTCAAGTCACCCCTGGATTGGTCCATTATTATCCCAGTTTCCAGGTCTCCTAACCACTCACAAACATGACTGTGGGAGGATGGCAGTACCTGAAGAGGTTAATGGTCCCACCCACCAGCCCTGTAAACAATACCCTTTGCCTAAAGAGAGTTTACCTTATGTCCAGGCCACAATTGAGAGTTTAAAGGAACAAAGTGTGATTCGTGAAGGGATATTTACTACTAGCTCCCCTGTATGGCCCGTTAGGAAACCTGATGGTTCCTGGCGG